AGAGTGCTTGTCATTATCTTGAGCTTGTGAAAGGTTATTTTTTTGCTATTAAAACCATACCTTAAGATTATTGTGATCGCTTAAGATTCTCCTTATTTCATTGCATAGCTATGTTTTCTGTGTCCCCCCAGTCATTCTAGCGGGGGAATTTCCTCCCCCCCCCCCAATTACGTTATGTTAAATTCTAGCGTGTTTGTCCCATAAGACATAATTTATTAATAGATGCAGTGTCTTGCTCAGCTCCTTCTAGCAAAGTAGACATGAGTGGTATTTTTTGTTCCTGTTTCATAAGTTGTTTGATTTCCTGCACTGTTGTGGTCTCTATGGAATGGGTTAAGAGCGAAGATAGGTCGTGTCATTTCTCTTCTTTTGTGGTGGGGGAGAGCAGGTCTGTGAGGTTTTGAGTGTTATTTTTCTATGCTGAGGGGGCATAAACACCCGATACTCCTGCTCCCGTTTTGTAAGCATCCTTCCAGAGCGTCTCCTAGATCAACGCAGGCACAGTTAATGCTTTGAAGTATCATCCAGAAGGCAAGTTTATATCTTATTTGTATTTTTAGATACATCGTGTATTCATATGTTAGGGTTGCCCTCGTCCCATCTCTGATGAAGAGCTGAGATACCAAGATTAGGCCGATCGGTTTGTGTCATTCACAGCTTTCAAGTTGAAATGAAGGAATTTCCACTGATGAGGGTTTTTTAAAATGTAACTTTAATCCTTTCATACTGAAAATAATGTCCTCTCTTTTACTCTGACAATTGAATCTTGAGTTCCTAGCGCGCAGAAGAGTATTTGGGATGCACTGCAAGTGTAGCTGCACCAGCTTTTAAATGTTCATTCTCCGGTCGTACTCCAATGTAAGCATACAGCTAATCAGAAATAGTTGTTTACAGCCGAGCTTCCTTCTGTAAAAGCAATAGTACATTGAGGTATGTTTTTCAGAGCTACAGGGCAAAATGATCTGCTTTTTGAGGGAAGTAGTAGCGGAACGTCTCGATGAGATGTTCTGGTTCAAGACGTTTGCTATTAGAAACTGTGAGAAGGATCGTGACCTGATGGATTAGCTACCTGTTGCTCGCTGTATTCTCCAAAGGGCTATTTAATAAGTCATTATGTTCACTTGTCCTTTTAGTTAAGGCACCAGAAAATAATCGTCTCTCCCAGCTGCACCTTCGAGCCTCCCCGGAGTGCTGCACTAATGGAGCAGGCAGAGGTGTGCAGTATTTCCATCTGAGGCTTGGTGTGGACCCAGCAGACGTTGCAGGTCGCCTTGGATGGCACCTTAACAGCTAGCCGAGGGATTTGCTATTGCTGTCTTAAGCATTGCGATTTAAATACTCTGTTCCTATATGCAGGACCACATATGTAGATACATTTTTTCCACTCAAATTGTTAAGATATTTTTATTCTGTTTCGATAATACGATTATTTATGTAATTTAAAGGTTTATATTCATTAGAAAACGTTAAAAGGAAACGATATCGTTGAGGTACACTTCTTCCTTAGGATTGTAATCAGAAAGGATGGCTTGCTCATATCAATTTTTTTTATTTTTATTTTCATTTTTTAGACAAAATGGTGTAATGGGACTCTTCATATATTTAAGTTCAGCGAACTATGTGTAATGTCTGTTTTTAACCCTTATAATTTAAATAACTTAAAAATAAATATTCTAGCTAAATTTAATTTACCATGTCATTACTGAGGAAAAATTAAACTAATTCATTTCATGAATTTTAATTTAATTGCATAACAGTGATTGGCATGACTTCAGATATTTTATGCTGCTTAAGCAGTTTAAGACCATTTGAGATAAAGACAAAAGCTTATAGTTGGTTCTGATAATATTTTTTCAGTAAGAAAAAGATCGTAGTCACAAGGACGTAGCCATTTGCTGAAAACATTTTTTTAAATACTTTTTATTTCATTTTTTGTTTCTCTGAACCGAGAATATAATAACAAACAGAACTGCATTTTTCATGAAAATACTCCAAGCACAATGCAAGCTGAGGAAATGTTTTTGTCGTTAAACAAATGAGAAAACTGAAAGAAGAGCAGCTCAGTTAAGTGCTCTGGGTTCTCGGGAAAGCAAAAAGCATTCTGACCTGGCCCGCGGCTCGAGCCCACGTGCAGGTCGGTAGAGCAGCTCCGGTGCCGCAGCGCTGCCCGAGGCTTGCTGCGCTTCCCCCTCTCCGGGGAGAACGTTTGCAGGGGCCAGCATCAATAGGAACTGTAAGTTAAATGTTTCCGAGATCTTGTCTCAAATGTGTTCCACAGCAAGCATTGTATGCAGCTTTCTGGAAGGTCTGCTTTATGTGTTGTTTGTTTGTTTGTCATTTTGGTTAAATGTCTATGGAGCAGCAGGGGTATTAAATTTTCAGTAGTGGGTTTGCAGCATCCTGTAAATTAGATGCAACTTTTTGCTTTTGGTGTGTAGAACTACGTTAAAGTTGTTTTGCAACAGTTACTCAAAGGAACACATTCTGCCTCTGTTGATTGTTGTTGATGAAAATATGTTTTATAACTGGAGATAAATAATTTTATAAATAGGACACTTTGAAGAGGCAAAATAGTTACGTTTGCAGTTTTATTTTTTGAACTGAAAATGGAAGGGGACTGTGTCATGGGACTCTAATTTCCCTGAACTTTTGGGAATCCGGGATGCCCCGGGTTGCTTCTGTGTTTTGCCTTCACCTAATTGGACAGTTTGCATTTTATGTAATTGCATCTTATGCAATTGTATGTTTACTTTTCTTACGTTTCTCATTGAAGAGCTCCCTAGCGCTTTGTTACCTCAATATCTTTTTGCCACCGTTGAAAGTAAGGTGCTAGAACAGAGTAAAAAAGACCGAGTTTATTACAACATTTTTGATTATTTTGCACAGTCCTAGGACCTCAAAGAAAAAATACTTTTAAATAACGTAGGCCACATTTTGTCTTTTTTTTTTTCTTCTCTCCACAGCTTTATTCATGCTTTGGAAACATAAAAGGAGTTGTCCAAAAAGGAGAGGGAGGGAGAAGGAAAAATAGGCACAAGTCTTGGTTGATGTTTATACGTAATACGTCTTTGTAGGCCTCTACATTTATCATGGGGGCATATTAAGTATCTCGCTGAGACAGGAAGGGAATGTTGCCCCAATCCTGCCCCAGAATAAAATTTGCTTTGTTAAATGTAAAAATTTAACTCTTTCTGGGGTCAACTGGAATCAGCTGAGAACTCTGTTAATTAAATTTCACAGGTTTCCCTTTGGGAAAACTTAAACCCTGTAAGATAGTATGAACTCTTTTTTTTTTTTTGCTTTGTTAGATTTCAAATTATCTTGTTCAAATATAGATTTATTACTGAATGCAGAAGGTAAAATGATATGTAGTTATGTAGAGAAAGCAAAAATATTTTATAGATTAAATTAGTTTTGTGTTCCTTACAAATAAAAAAAGGAGGATGTATCCACCCTCTATGATACCTGGAATGGAAAAGGAAATTTACCATCTGTGACAAAGGCAATGATCAGCAGGCTCTGTTAGAGTGTAGGTGTTTTCAAAACAAGAATAAATAACAGACAAGAATCCTAAATGAACTATATGAGAAACTATGGGAATCACTAATGTTAATTTTTTTAAAAAATTCTTAGAAAAGGGGAAACAATTTCATTGCTTAAAGAAAGAAATTGTCCAGAGGTCTGCTAATCAAATTGCTTGACATCAAATATGGGCTTTTTTTTTTTTACATACATGCATACATACATATATATATACATAGAGAGAGAGAGAGAGAGAGAGAGAGTGAGGATTTCTAGCAACAAGGGTGTATAGGAAGAACATCATCAACATGGTTTCGCATATAATAAGATCTTGTTGAACGAACCATGCCTTTTCGAAAAGATTATGGATCTGATTTGTAAAATCATATGATATTTTGATTTTTAGAATTGCATTGTGTGGGACTAACCGTGCATATATTAGGGGAGTTTAAAAACCAGCTCACTGTGTAGTGGTTACCAGAGCCAATGAGTGGGACCATTTCTGGGCCTCCAGGGAACTGGTGGTTAAATATATAAAATCGAATAGGGCCAGCAATCTAAAGAATGATCTAAAATCCTTCTTTGCACGCTGGCTAGGTATTAATATTGGGCAGGTCGGGTTACTCTTTATAGGGTGATCTGAATAACGTGTTTAAAAGTTGTACTTCATAAAATTAAGTTTTAGTATAGCAGAATGCAAGATTGTCTCCTGGGAGTCAGAATGTAGATTGTATCTGCAGAATTGGAAAAGTACTTGAAAGTCGATTAGTTAATTACCTTAGTGTGCTTTGTTTTGGCGAAAAACGAAACAAAACAAATGCAAGCCTGGATGTATAAAAAAGGGGAAATGATACGTAAGTAATAAAGTGGGCTTCCAATACTGATAAAAGTATTATTAAAATAGTGTATCCCATGCTGTTGTCTTCGCTTCATGAAGGATGTGGAATTACTGATTCCTGGGAAGAATTTAAAGACAGGCCACAGGAGTCATACAAGGACCAATTGATTTATTAGTAGGACGTTCGGACATGATTTAATTACCATGTAGAGGTAGTGCTATGTGGAAAAGAGATCTAGAAACGGAGATGTGGAATGGCATTCCTCTGCCTAGCAGTAGAGGTACGTTGAAGAATCTGTTGGGGATGGGGAAGCCTCGTTTGAGCTCTTTTACAGAAGGACAGGTTTATTTTTTAAAAGGTGTTTTAATCCAGCTTCTGCAGATGTGGCTTTCATGATGCAAGCGTGCATGGTCATAGCAGGTCATTCTGGCCTTGGGATCCACGAAGCCTCCCTCGCAGTTTATCCCCTTCTTTTGCAGCTACGGGGATGTCAGGTCTATTTTTATCATTCTGAATATGCTCATGGTACTTGCAATTCTATGTTGGCATATGAAGCCTTGAAACCTTAGTCCGGTGTATATGGGCAGGCATCAAAGAGGTGAGACGGGGCTGATTTTTGGTTTTCTGTTTTCCTGTCAGGATAGTTTGCTATTGTATGCTACCACTGCTTTCACCTCCCTCTGGAGCATCCAAGACCGAACAGGATCGTAGGTGATGTTAGAAGATCTGCTTTGGTGCCAGACTGATTCTTACTCGCATGATCCTGGCAAAATTGACTGAAGAACTTGAAATAAGGAAGGAAGGAACTCTTTGAGTAGGAACTGTTTAGGAGTATCTCCATCTTCTGCTGCATAAGGCTTTTTGGATGCTTGAAGCATTTGGGCGTACTTGGTCGAATAGTTAGTTCTCTGTTACGGCAGGAGCCTTGGGCCCTCATGCCATCTCACTTCTTTTTTGTTCCTTGCACGTAGCACACAACACACTGGGATCTTCAGCACAAAATTGTTGCATTTAAAATTTCAGCTTGATATTAAAGTACATGGAGGAGAAGCACAATGGCCTGTGGCGTGCGGAAAGGCAGACAAAAGTATTCAGCTATCCTCTCTGACTTGCAGTTCTTCAAAATATTTACTAATTACCAGTGTTACATAATTGTTTCTTTCTGTACCAAGCTGCTAACACAGGTAAAAAGCCCTGAATCTGATGTCTCTTCCATATAGACAAACATATGTGTGCCTGAGGAGCTGGCTTAATACATTTAGTGAGATTCTGTGTGATTATGAATCTGTCTGCATTTTGAAAGAAATTGCAGAATTTCATGTTATTATGCATAATTCAAATGGGTATGGTTTGAGTGCTTTAGTATCTCTTAATGAAACCAAATATAGTTCTCTTCAATTCCATTCATTCTGGACCTTATCTCGCTTTCTGATACATCTCTGTAGTTGCCAAGCAACCTCAACAGTAGTTCTGCACATCCAGCAGCCCTAAAAAAAAAAAAAAAATGAAGTGAGTAGTTGTTGCTGAAAATAAGATGCCTTCTGATGACATGAATGAAGAGAGTTACGAGAGAAGGAAATAGGGAGTGGAGAGTTTGGAGCTTAATGTTCTGAAAAAGCTAATAGTATTTAGCACTTAAATAGTGCTTTTTATTTTCAAAGCATTAATCAAGCTATCATAAGATTATTAAATAAAGACTATTTTTCCTCTCAGTGAGGGAAGCACAGTTACATTTATGCTTCATAGAGCAGAGGGCAGACTTTAGTCCCAAGAGGGCAGGAGTTAGTTTGGTGTAAGTATTTCTTTCTCTGACCTGTACTGATGTCCTGTTTTTCCATAGGACTTCAGATTAGCCAGAAGATTTTGGAAGATTTTTGTTTGCATGTTTTCTACTACACAGACATCATGATCCATTCATTTCATTGTGCTGCATCTGCAGTGTAGTGAGTTTCATTAAAATATTTATCATCTAGAAGGCCTTCCAAACTAGAGGTGTGGTAGATTGTGTTCAGGTCCTTCATTATTTGATAATTCTGTAACGGTGATGAAGCAATGAACAGAGCTTATTTTTTTATTCTGTCTGTTGTATGAAATGCGATCTGAGCAGCAGACAGTACTTTAAACTGCCCTAGGAAAGGATATCAAAATGAAAATGAAGTCTGGTTTAGAAAAGTGATGATTTTCCATTTGTAGATATTTAAGTTTATAGGATAGCTTCGTTTCAACTCAAAAAGGAAACTATATATTACACACAGACAGACTGAAAAAACATTATTAGGGACATAAACAAGTTAGAAAGTAACAGGATTAAGACTGTCTTCATTTGTATTTGCTCTGATTTAGAATACCATTGCCAGTAACTGCCCATATGTGAAAGTCATTTTAAAGTTCTATAGCTCACCCCTAAAAAGCAGTAAGTAGTTCTTGTGCACTTTTTAAAGCAGGTTCTGAAATTGTGAACGCTCACTTTCCTCGGTCACGGTTTGTCTGGAATTGCTGAGCCGTGTGCCATTATCGCTTGAGATGCGCTAGAACAGATTAAATTATCCCACGCGTTTTGGGTTGGGGGGACTCTTGGTCCCCGTCGCACAGTTTAATGCCTTGCTTCCCACTCTTTTTCTCTGAAGGTGGTGGCCTTGGAAATGCACTTGTTCTGCTTTCCGGGTGGGAGTAATAAGAAGGGCTGTACTGCAAATTAATCAGAAATAGGGAGATATCAAATTCTTGGCTCTATTTATATAGAAAGAGTTATGAATGGTACATGCCATATCCCTGGCAGACAAATACATGCATCTGACAAGCTTCCTCCGTAGTGAGGCTTTTATGCGCAGGATGCTGTGTGCTGGGTCTGTGTTTGCACGCTGCATGGCCACTTAGGTGGTTTTTGTCAAGAGGCTCCCATTTTGCTCTTGTTCTGGATAAAATGAACAAGAAGAAACAGTACAATATAGGAGTCATCTTCTCTGTGTGATACAGATAAACACAAAAAATGGATAGTCAGTGTATAAATTCTCAGCTTATCATTGCAAAGCAACTTCCTGCTGTTCTGCTTCCGTAGGAGCAGAAGATGTTTTAAAGGTACTATGGTACTTTAAACTGTAATTAAGAGAACACATATATTTTGAATTGCAATCTAAACGTTAATCATTTGCATCACAGATCCAACTGAGCGTGCATGCCTGAAAAGAGTTGTTTTTTGCCATATGTGGGGGTTACCTTATCCCACCAACTCTGGTTGCGGTAAATTTGAGTCAGCTGGTAATAGGGTAGTTTTTGCTGTTAACATGTGGATTAAAAACAGCACTAGATAGTATTAGGTTTAAGGACAAGTTAAATTAATGATGGCGTGCACAAGAACTACACTTGGAAATGTTAAAAAAAACGAAAAAGGCACGCTGATTTATCTATTACTGTTACCGCAGTCAATATCTAAGGCTTGTTTGTGCTGGACTAAAATTTCTTTTGATATGCTGCAGCTAGTAAAGGTAGTTTAGAGAGAGAAAGGGAAGGTATGTGCGTGAGTGTGTTTATACATAAACTGTTTGTGGTGGTGTTTTACCCTAATCCTCTAGAAGACAACCAGTCCTCGTTCGTGCTTTATTTTATGTGTAAAATGCGTGGATTTTGGCACCTGTCTTTTCAATGAAGGCCTATAGGTAGGTCTGTCCATGCAAGATGAGCGTAATTACCGTACGTATGTGATGTGTTAACTGCTGCACAGTATTGCCATGTAAATTTAGTTGCCCTTTTTTTTATGTATGTATTCTCTATATACCTAGTTTTAAAAGGGTAAATATTATAAACTGGTTGCTCAAGAGCAGTATGCTATAAAAAAGTAATAAGCACATCAGGAAAAGTGTTGGAGGTGGTAATAAAACTGCACTGTAATCCCTCTACCAACTTACTGAACTCTAACTATTGTTATCTGTGACAATTAGCTGCTGCGTTACATATTGTACATTAACCCTTTGTATACTAGTTGTGCATGGAACTATATTAAATATACTGCAGTGCCTTAAATTTTAGGGTTTCAAGCAAATGCACCATCTAATTTAATAGCGTTCACAGTTTCTTGTTGCCTTTCTCTTTGTGTCTGGCTTTTGTTTCAACAAAAAAGACTTCTGAATACTTTGCGGAAATCATCTTTGTCACAAAAATAAATGTCTTTTTGCGACATAGAGGCAAATATATGACTTATTTCAGCTTCTTCCTCAGTATGCAGAAAAAATACTGAAAAAGCTGGTAAGCATTTAAACATTGAAATCTGAACGTTTTTGATTTATCTCTTTAAGCAAACCTTTAAGAAGTTTCATTTGGAAGCGTTGTAAAATGCTGACAGTGGAACCTCACCTGACCGTCACAGGACTCGCGAATTCCCCGTCAGCTCCGTTGAGGAAATGTAGTGGATTCGGATTTCTTAGAAGGCAACGTCTAGGTCTCACTGCAGCGAGAGCAGATGAGCGTCGCCGTTCGATGCACGGCACCATCTGCTAGCGTGCCTTCCTGTCACTGCTGGAGGAACCGATCAAATCTCCCCTCAGCAAATGCCTGTTCTAGGGCCTCTCCAGAGCCTGTGCAAGGGCTGGGCAGTCAGTGGTGTACGTGTTGCAGCGCTTAGCCGTGGGCGAGGGCGGACGGGGACGGGCTGCCAGAGGCCTCTTGCTCGCAGAGGTGCCGCGTTCGGGCCAGCGACGGGCCTTGTGGTACCAGCCAGCCGGCTGCCTTTTGGACTTCCCTTAACTCATGTCTTAAAACATTCAGTAAAGAAGTGTACGGGCGCAGCTGCCGTTGAATTTTGAGACAGGATTCTTGCCAGATGCTGAGCGTCGCTGGTTTTGATCAGCACCTTGGTGAATCGATTGATTCCTGAAGTGATTTGTGTGTGGTTTTTGTTCAGTAAAAGCACTAAAACCGGGGTTATGTAAGCCCAGGAGTGCAGCTGTAAATATTTTGGAAAGCTGTTTAACAGATGTAAGATATTACGTGAGATAAAATAATAAAGGATTGCTCATTAAATCCACGGAGTCCCTCTTAGTCTGAGGTTTAAATTCTCTAGGGTAAGAAACATGTTTCTTCCTTAATCTTCCAGAAGATGCTTGTTTATATTAAAAAAAAAAAAAACCACCGTCCTACTATGTCCTTCAGACTGCTGAGGAACTGGCAGCTGGTGAGACTACAGCTTTTTGATTCCAGTTGTCTGTTGCCTTGGCATAAAGGTGGATTTTTATATCTATATCTGTGTCTGTATATATTCTGTTGTAACCGGTGTCCCTCAGTTCTGAGAAGATCTTTAAAACGGCAAGCAATTACGTTTGAAGTTTGGATCTCATGATGTCAATACAGATATGTAGTAAAATACTCCAGGGTGTGGTGATACTTACTCATTAATGACTGAGACTTGGGACATTTCCTGAATATTAATGCTGGATATGAATGTTAATTGCCAGAGGTGTGATTATTGTCCGGTTGACTTATTCCCCCCCCCTGCCCCCCTTTTCTCAAGTGTTAATGGAGTAATAATAAATGCACAGTTAGGTCACATAAATAGTTGGCGTAGTCTCTGAGCCACAGTGCTAGAGTGCTTTAACTACCTGAATACTGTGCATACTGCACGATGATAATTATGCAGTATAAAAATGGTTATTTTAATTTCTCCCCTTAGTGACTTGATGTGTAGTTACACAGCTCAAGTTCTCAGTTGTCCTTTGGGAGTTCTCCCTCGGATCGCTTGGTAAAATTCAGTATTGGCACACCCTGCTCGGTTAGAGTGATGAAGCCGATAGGAGAATTTGTCCTAATTATGTAAGCGTAACTGCCACCGAGGGTAAATGGTGCG